ATTTGTTTTGTCATACGCTGATAAAATGTTTTCTCTGTTTTTCCATATTGTTGCAACAGTAGACTTTCCAAGTGCTAATTCCTTACAAATGTCACTGGGCTTTACTCCACTTTTTATTTTGTTAATAATCTCGTACTTTTCATTTAGTGAAAAAGCTTTGCGTTTTTGTTTTTCCATTCTAAAACTATTTACATACATAACGCAGCAAAAAACAACAAGTTACTGCCTGTCTCTCGCTCTCACTAATATAAACAACTCCGCACGATTGGTGTTGCTGAGGGTGGAAGTTCGTTATAAACGGAAAGTGAATATACAACTAATCTAAAAAGTGATCGTTATATCCGGAAGTTCCTTATAAACGGGTTCGTTATAACCAGTAAAAAAATACGTTGGACTTTATGGACGACGTTTCAATTAAAGGAAAAAAGTTCGTTTTAACCGAAAGTTCACTATAACCGGGTTTATTATAATCGGACTTTACTGTATATTTATATAAGGCTGCATGTTTCTGCTAAGTGCCTCAGTCACAAATTTTCGACATTTTCTATTTAATGTCCATAAAGAGGATTATGACGTATGTAGTTTCTTGTGCAGTTCTTATTGGTTAGGAATTTAAGTTTTAACTGCGAGTAACAAAAGTTGGTGTTTCTTGACCACTTCGTATCCGTGAAGCAAGGCGGTCAACAAAAAAACCAAAGAAAAATATATTTTTAATTTTAATCTTGTTTTTTTAATGGTATTGTTGTTTAATGTTACTACTGCTCCTGAATTAGTTTTTGTGTGTCAAAAATGCGAAATATTTGATGGATTTACTCAACTTGTAAATGTAAAGAAATGTTCCAGTTTTAATTCGATATTAGAGTGGAGGATTGGTCTCTGGGGAGCCATACAGAATTATGGTCAATTGGATTTCAACCAGTGAACTTTTCAGTCAACTGTTCATAGAAATCTGCGATTTTGAATGTAGGTAATAATGTTTTTTGATTTACACGTTGTACATTTTTCCGTCCATTTCTAGGATTTAAAACTTTTGCTTTTCTTTGCTCAAACCGTGAT